CGCGTCGCCGAGGGCATCCAGCCGGGCCGAGGGGCCGCTCGCCCCGCCGTTAGCGGTGCTGCCCCCGGGCCCCGCTTCTCCCCGCGCCGGGCCGGGAACGGATAGAGCCCGCAGGCTGTCGGAAGGGCACCAGGGAGAGGGCGAGGAGGGTTTCTCCGCTGCCCCCGCTCGCACATCGCCCGAGCAGGTGGGAGGGGAGGCCGGGGGGAGGCCGGGACTGCCCCATCGCCTCTCCGCCGGGAACGGCTCCGCGCTGCGGAAACGACGAGGGCCCGAGGGGAAGAAGGGCAGGAACCCCCCATCCGCTGGGAACACGCGTCTGCTTCGCCCCGAAACGCTCGGGCCCCGGCGGTGCAAAAGCCCTTGGCGGAACCCAGAAAAGCAACGCGTTGCGACGACTGCCAGGTCCCCCCACGACGGCATTTCCCGGGCCGCAGCATCGCCGCTCTCCCGCTGCCCTCCCGCCCTCTCCGCCTCCGGCGAGGCTTCTCCCCGCAGCAAATATCCGCTGCCGGGCCCCCTCCCCGTTTGGGCCCCGCACCCCGCAATTCCCCAGACCTTTCAGGCGAGGCGGGGGCGGACACCGGGGGCTTCTGCCTTCGGCCTCCCTCCCGGGCCCCGGGCGGCAGAGGAGCGGGTCCCCGCCGAGGTCCCGAATCCGCGAGGGAGACCCCGCTCCCCACGCCGCGCCGGCCGCGGGGGGGTCCCGCAGGGGTGAGCGGGGCAAGGCCGAGGGACCGGGCGGCAGGGTGCGGGGCTGCCGACGGGCTCGGGCCCTGTCCTGCGGCCCCAGCAGGGCCTCGCCCGGCCCCGCGGGCGCTCGCCCCGGTCCCCGGCCGCTCCGCGTCGCCGAGGGCATCCAGCCGGGCCGAGGGGCCGCTCGCCCCGCCGTTAGCGGTGCTGCCCCCGGGCCCCGCTTCTCCCCGCGCCGGGCCGGGAACGGATAGAGCCCGCAGGCTGTCGGAAGGGCACCAGGGAGAGGGCGAGGAGGGTTTCTCCGCTGCCCCCGCTCGCACATCGCCCGAGCAGGTGGGAGGGGAGGCCGGGGGGAGGCCGGGACTGCCCCATCGCCTCTCCGCCGGGAACGGCTCCGCGCTGCGGAAACGACGAGGGCCCGAGGGGAAGAAGGGCAGGAACCCCCCATCCGCTGGGAACACGCGTCTGCTTCGCCCCGAAACGCTCGGGCCCCGGCGGTGCAAAAGCCCTTGGCGGAACCCAGAAAAGCAACGCGTTGCGACGACTGCCAGGTCCCCCCACGACGGCATTTCCCGGGCCGCAGCATCGCCGCTCTCCCGCTGCCCTCCCGCCCTCTCCGCCTCCGGCGAGGCTTCTCCCCGCAGCAAATATCCGCTGCCGGGCCCCCTCCCCGTTTGGGCCCCGCACCCCGCAATTCCCCAGACCTTTCAGGCGAGGCGGGGGCGGACACCGGGGGCTTCTGCCTTCGGCCTCCCTCGCAGGGGTCTCCCCGCCGGTACCGCTCCCCACGGGCCGGGTGCCCCCCGGCGCAGACACCCCCGCTCCGCTCCAGCACCGGAGCCGCGCTCACACCGAGCCGCGGGCCTTTTGCGGCGGAGGTGCCGGGGCTCCCCAGGAGGGGCTCTTCCCGCGCCCCCGGGGCCCGGCGGGGACACAGCTCCGCCGCCTTCCTTTCCTCCGTCCGCCCTTCGCACTCACCCCCCCGCCCGCATCTCTCCTCCCGTCCCTCCCGCGATCCCTCCTTTCCCCGCGCTCCCCCGGCCCCTGC